TTAATTTCGAAGACCCGTGAGCTAGAAGATATGCGCAATTTGAAGTTTACATGTGGCCGTTGTGTTGTGAAAATGAAGGGGATTATACGAAATTGATTTTGAATATTTATTTTCGTATGATTGTTTTGAATAACTCAATTAGTGCGAATGGTGTCATTTTTTTGTTTTAAATTAGTTGTCACGGTCCCTTGCAATGTATAAGGTTAAAGTTTATATTAGGGAGCTCCCTAATAAAGATTGGGCATGAGTTAGCATATTGATTATCATATAGCAGAAGACCTTGTTAAGAAAACGGTGAACAATGTCAGTTTTTCCATAATCATAAAAGTGAATTGCAGGTTATGGAATTCATTATTCAGCTTGGCAATGCAGTTACCCAGCGTAAAAAAGACAGTTGCTGAAAATCTGGCGGAAGTCAATCAGAAATTCATCGATAAAATCCATTGTCAAGATAAAAAGCGAATTTTCATAAAACGGCTACCAAGAAGTGGATTAAACGATGCTGAAATATTGGCCAAAGCTGGTAAGTGCTATGATTCAGCTCATACTCACAATCAGTATTGCTTCAATATACATTCCAGTTTTGTATTAAATATTTGAAATTTTCATTTGATTTCGGCATTCTCGTTCAATTGTTTGAAATGAATTCTGTACCAAATTCACTGCCTTGTTCTGCATTTCCGATGTGTGGTGACTGAATTCATGAGGTGAACTTGTTTTTGTTTATTTTTGACACTGATTTTTCTTTTTTCGTAATGTAAGTAATGAGTAGTTTCACTATTTGAAGTAACCGTGAGCTGTTTTCCAATGAAATTGTGCGACTTAAGAATGAATTCAAGAGGCTGTCGAATTTTTTTTAATGAACGATGCAGTCCATTGCTGTAATTATTGTGAGTTTTTTGATTGCTAGATTTCGAAATTAAGAGATCATCCTCATCATACAGGAAGTACATTAATTTTTACAGATTATGGCCGTTTTTCTGCTTAAATCTGCACCGTTCAGACATGTTAATTATATTTGTAAACACCAATTTACATGTATCAAATCTTTTTCAGATCTCCGCTCCTAACTTCATGAATTAGTCTGAGTATTATATTTGTAAACATTATTTGTCTGAGTATTATTTTTCATTGGAACTCGAATGTAGATTTGCTAGAGTCGAAAATAAGTGATCAAAAAATGGAATTGCTTTTGAGGTGATTATTTGTCAATGGGGAATGGACAGTCGGAAGTTTTGTCAGGTTTCGTCAGTGGTACTGTTTACAATGACATCGATGATGAAAATCTGAAGTCATTGCAAGTCGAGGTTGTTCATTCTTAATCATCTTTTTGTTTCCGTTTTTTCATCTATTTATTCTGCTGCGAAGACTTCAAGTCTCATTTGTATAGTTTTGAAAATCGTTTGGGTGCTGCATTCCAAGGAAGTAAAATTTTGTGTACCTCTTGGAGCATGACCGACCCTTCATTTCATTTTACAGCCATTCCATATTTCAACTGTTATCTGTTTCAGTTAGAACTCATCAGCTTTCGTTCATTTGTTGAAGCGCTAATATATATCATGCATGCCAAAATTTTACATTCAAAATACATCAGTTTTAATGATAATAGGAGTAAAAACATACGATTTTACTGCAAGTATCTTCGTGACATTAAGCGTTGAATTTTATTTTTTGAGACTTCCTCATCGTCGCAATGATATGTGCCTACTAACTTTGTTCACTGCCAAAATTCAACGTCATCCATTTTTTCTATTATTGTATATGTACCAAGATCAAATCATCGGAGGTGTGAATGGATGTATCTTGCAGATCTACAAGATGTTCTGCTATTCGAATCCACTGCATCCGATGATATTTCCTGATTGTCGAAAAATGGAAGCAGAGGTTGTGCGGATGGTTGCAGATTTGTTTAACGGTGATGCAGATGTTCGAGGAACGGTGAGATTCCATCGTTGCTTTCTGCAGATTTGTTGTTTCACTGAGAAACATTATTCACGTCGTTGTTAAGTTTAATTTGCAAAATTTTAAGTGACCGTCAGATTCGGTCAGTCAGAATGATTTATTGGTTTTATTCGTTAAATAATTTTCGTTCATCTCTGCGCATTCGAGTATTTCATCCCTCAGCAATTACGCCCTCGAAATAGATGGAAGCGACTTGGAAATAGCTATTATTTTGAATCTAGCAAGAATTTTATATTTATCACATGTTGTTCAATTTACGTGTGTGTGTAAAACCTCCGATGATCCTTCATAAACATATTCTCTCGCATCCATTATTTATTCGATTAGCACATGGTGAAAGTGATCCTTTCAGACTAATGTCTCTTGTGACCTCTGTTGACTCGCTCAGAAGTTTGAGTTGAACACTTCTATTTCATTCTTTTGCAGATGACGACAGGAGGCACAGAATCGATCATGTTAGCAATGCTAGCCTATCGAAACAGGGCCAATAGTAAAGGGATCGAAGAGCCACTAATGCTTGTTCCGATAACTGCTCATGCTGCTTTCGATAAGGTTCTTTATATTTTACATTGTTCACTTGGATGTACGGCTGTTATTGGTCTTTTATGATATTCTCAAAAATAATTTTTGATTTGGTTTTCAAGATTAGATGCATTTGATTCAAGATTCCATCAGTTGATTAACAATTACTGCTTGTTCTCATTTTATGAAAGAATCTTTCTAACGTCAGCAATGTCATCCGTCGATGATTAGTTCTTATTACAGAATCTTTGTCGAGAGTTAATTTTTAGCAAGTGCATTGATATATTAATTTCAGGCGGCCGTGTTGTTCGGTATTCGCATACGCCATATTCCTGTTACTAGTGATGGGCGAGTTGATGTGAAAAAAATGGAGCGAGCAATTACATCGGATACATGTGTGGTTGGTTGACTTTCACAGTCTGTTACGATTATCTTTTGTGAATTGTCAGGTCTCATAGTCACTGGTACTATCTGCGTTTTTCTTTTTTCAACGTTTGAAATACTTTACGCCTCCAGTACAGAATTGATTCATGTTCACTGTACATAAAACTGCATTGGCTTCAAGTCACCCTCATAATTATCTTGCTCAAAATGAGCTTTGTGCATCTCAAAAGTGATAAGGGAGTGGCCTACGGCAATTTTTAGTTAAAGGGGAATGCTTAACCTAACCGCATTCATCCACTTGACTATTAAACTTGAATGAAGCCTTCGCTTATTCGTTGAATGTTCTTTTGTTTGACTCTACTCTAAGTTATTCTGAGGATGCAATATAGATATTCGAGGGTTTCTTTTAAATTGTGTCCATGATGATTTACTTCCAGCTGGTTGCATCTGCACCAAATTTTCCTACTGGTACAATGGATGACGTCATTTCGGTGTCTCAGGTTTGAAGTGGTTTCTTACACTCTTGGTTGACAGTGAGCATGCTGCTTATCGTTTCATCAAGGATTCGATTAATAATCAGTTCGACTGTTTGGGAAATGACTTAATTATAAAATTAAAATGCAATTTATTCACCTAGCCATCATTTTAAATTGAAAATTTATCAGCATCCGCAACACTGAATCGAGAGAAATCTGTTTGATCCAACCCAGTCGCGCTTTCTCACCGAATGAAGTTTGTTTTATTGAAGATCATATTTTGCTAGGACATGGTTCTCACTGAAAATTGATTTCAGTTAGGGATGAAATATGATATTCCGGTGCATGTAGATTCATGTCTGGGTGGCTTTCTCATACCGTTCATGAAGGATGCTGGTTATACTTTGCCCACTTTCGATTTTCGTCTGCCTGGAGTGACGTCAATCTCTTGTGATACGCATAAGGTTATATTTTGTGATTAAGGTTGACCTTCGAATGCAGCATTCATTGCGAATCTAGAAGAATATTCATAGAACTCAGTGAGAAGTGAATAGTTCATCATGAAATGTGACATTAGGGCACAGCATGAAGTTGGACGGTAAACCATTGATGTAAGCAGAGTTGTTTGTATCAATTACTGTTTTATCAATAGGGTTTTATCGAAGAGCCATTCAAACGCACGTGATATGTTGCCGGTTTTATTTCAAAACGCATTCCATGTGGCACTGTCATAAGTTCGCGCCTAATCGAGAATTTCTGATCGGTGCAATTATTTCAGTGAATATATATTCCTCCACTCACATATTCAAAAACGAAACGTATAGTTTCAATGCACTCATAATATCTAATTTAGTATGGATGTGCGCCGAAAGGTTCGTCGGTGGTCATGTATAGAAATGCTGATTATGTGCATGACCAGTATATACGTGTACCAGACTGGACCGGCGGCGTGTATGCAACACCGACACTTTTGGGTACGTTTGTGTGTTATAGTATTCAAAACACTGTTTGTCTACCAGTGAGTGTTGCTCGTAAACAAATAAAATTTCGAGCCGTCGGTAAACGAGTAATCATTAGAGCTAGAGCTTAAATATGTTGTCATATAATATTGAGCTAAGTGTAAGTAAAATGCTTTCCATTCAACTCGTTTTTAGGCAGCCGTGCGGGTCTGACAATTGCATTGACGTGGTCTACATTGTTACATTTTGGTTATGCGAATTACGTGTCAAGAACGAAACAAATTATCGAGTGCACCAAGCGTATTGCAAATGCAATTCGTGGTGGTGATGATAATGTTGGTTCAGTTTATTTCGATGCTTCAACTAGAAGTGCTTATCAGATAGCATATCGTCACATTCAAAAATGCTATTTGATAAGCTGAAAGTATTTCATGTCAGCCGTTTTCGTTATCAAGATTCCATAGTGTCCTTTCTCTATTTCGTAAGAATAGAATCTCTTTTTTCTATTCACAGAAACACACCTCTCAGAAATCTCATTTTCCATCTCAGTGTTGCATCTTGTTTCAACTAGTGCTTATTTCCGCTTCATTGCGCTTCATTTTGAATACCAAAAACCTCCAATAATGATAATATGTCTACTCGACTCAAGCTCACTATTCTCGTCCTTGAAAATAGCGTAATTGCAAACTTGACGTAGTCAAAGGAGCGTGCTTTTTGTTTTCAGAATCCAATCCCAGGTTTACGTTTACTCGGTTCTCCTGACGTCTCGGTAGTTGCATTCGAGAGTGATATTGTGAACATCTATGCTATAGGCGATCAAATGTCTGAACGTGGATGGCATCTAAATCTAATTCAAAATCCGCCTGGGTACGATGCATATTGCACAGGCTGAAGGATTCTTTTTACTAATCTATTCAGTGTTGATTTGTGCTTGACTGATGCTACAGAATTTTTTAATTCTTTTCCTTTTTACAGTTTACATATTTGTGTCACTTATAACACGGTGAAAGCAAATGCCGATGTAACGTTCATAAGGGATCTACGCGAAGTGGTCAATAAATTGCTCGGTGAGCCGAACAAAGGAAATGATTCGGAAATGGTGAGTTGAACAAAATAGTGGCATGTTCTTGCAAAGATGTAGGCCCATCAGACGAATAATCTGCGTGCAAACGAAGTTGTTAGAAGCGATATCGAGATCAATGATGTGAACGAATGCGCAAAATAACGAACGCTTCATAGATACGTCATCGTTTTGTGTATAACCGATGAGCTGAAATATTTATTGAGAATACTTTTTACAGGCAGCAATCTATGGGTTGGCAGCATCTGTTCCTGATAAAAGTATCATCAATGAAGTGGTCAATGCTTACTTAGATGCGTGTTATGCCATGCCGAACGCATCAATTCAAGAGCACTTCAATGTTTCCTAGATGATGTATTCATATATAATATTAATCATTGTGTTTCATCTAATTATTATCATCATCATTTCACTGTATGCCTACGACTGGTCCTACCGTTAAGTGGAACTGGTTCTGCGTCTAGGATGTCGTCTGGTCGTCTGATCAACTTTTTGACCACCAATTTCTTCGGAAAGTAGTGTAAGCCATGGAAAAGATCGAACTGAAGTATTTCATGATATAGTCGCGATTTGACTAGAGGTGTTTCAAACTGAATAATTTTTTGCTGAATTTTATAGTTTTTCGTTTACATGTACGTATTTTTATCTTTATCAGCGTCCAATTGTAGCATTATAAAGCACAAAAATTTGCGAGTGAGGAAGAGTTCGAAACGAAAGATCCGTATGGATGACTGGACTGAAATGAAACTACTTCTTCATATCATACTAGCATGTTGAATTGTTCATTTGTTATTATTTGTTGTTATTGTTAGAACTGTAGATACTTTATAAAGAAGTTTTTATTTACTGTGAATGTGCGTTTTTTATTTACTATGAGCACCTCTGCAAAATCATCATTTGTCCTTTAATTCACGTGTGTATTTGATCCAGTCACGATCACCAGCAAATATAACAGATTTCTTGTTGATCAACACATTCTCTAAGGGAGGTGTTTAAATTTGTTTGTGGACAGAGAACTCTGGATTTGTTCCCCTTTATGCGCACCGGCTGTGCTCTAAAAATCAACTTATGCAAAGAAGTGAGTTGGTGACCAGTTTGCAGTTGCAGTCGCTGTGAGCGCTAACGAATTGCTTTTGTATGATGATTGGATACATCTCAATGTTTGGGTATAAACATTCATTCGTATAGACATCCGTTTTCGCTTGTCCTCTCCTAATATTATCAAATATTCTCGCATTTGAAAAATCGCGTCACCACTCAAATTATGCTTCATGAGAAGTAAGATGGCTTCAGTTTTTATCTACATTGGACAACGAAATTGAAGAATTTCAAATGTTATACTTAGGTGTAAAATAATGACTTATTAAATCACTATCTCTGAATTCTAATTCGGAATGTGAACTTTCTCATCGAGTTGAACTACATCCTACTGTCGAGTTCCATAACTTGTTGATTACTATGAANTACTATGAATTGCCAAAAGTACTGGAATATATAGGTGGTCTTTCATAACTGCAGCTCATACATATACTGGGCAACGATGAGTCTTTCAATACGCATTATAAACGAGCATTCTAAAATATAGAGAATAATATCCATACGAATCTGCTTGTCACATATTAGCAACAGAAGCACTTGAAACATATTGAATTCTGCACTTGTTCTCGCAACTGGAAAAAATATTTGAAAACATCCGTTGTGGTTTGCAATATTCAATTACAATTACTTGTTGCAAGTTTGCGCTTCTCTGTTATCACAGGTGTCCCTAATATCATATCCCTCCATCCTTCTTTCCGCGCAGTTAACAATAATAACGCTAGGAATTATATGACTTCATGAAGTTCTAACTTCGATTATTGATTTGGTGATTGCAGAGGTTTTGGAATACTCTTCCATATTGGCCAATGATTTCTGGAGAGAAGGGCCCAAAAAGAGCCCGAAAATACACGCCGCTTGATCGATTGAGCATGTATCTAACGATCGCTCAGAATAGCTCTTTGAAACAACCTATAGAAGTAAACCAGCAATCTTTCGGGATCAGTAACAGTCAATTAATGTAACCAAATACATCCATAGCACTCAGCGTATTAAACATTTCACAACCAAGCAATAATAAATGCCCTCGGCCAGGGATGGGCAATAATGCGCTATTTCGCTACTAGTGAAATAGCGGAATATCGATAGCGAATATCGGACTCATTTTGTTTAATTAGCGGAATAGCGATAGCCTTTCACTGTTTTTTGGTGATGATAGTGATAGCGAATAACGCTTGTAGTTTTTTAGGGTAGCCCTCTATCCTAAAAACCACAAGCGCCATTCGCTATAGGCAAACCAATCGCTCATTTTCCAAACAGCCACTCCGAATCGTCATCGATTCAGAGGGAAATGCGTCTCTTGTACTAGCGAGAATCAATTCTAGAAATTTATTGCTGTCTGAGTTCAAACCTCAATCTATTGTGTATAAAATTGGAATTGAAAGTTGTAAATGATCTAAAATTGTAGAAGAATTTTGAATTGCAACTTTGAACTCACAATCAACATACAATAACGATCAGATGCTGTAGTTTTTGCAAACTCAGTGTTATACATATATAGTGGCCGAGTGATTCTTCTTGACAGGGCAACACAGTGTCGCATTTTCCTATTTTGAATATGTCTTTTCTTCATGACATATCATAGAATATGGAACCAGCAAAATTAATTTATTGATATTTGTATTCTGTAAAAAGTCTCTTCAATATTTTACTAATTTTCGTGCATGTTTGGATTGATCAAGCTCTCAGATTGCATTCTTAAAATCCAGATTCATCATTCTCATCGTAAAAACGCTTAATTCACGAATTTTCAATCAAAATTGCATACGATGTATGTGTATGAACGATAATGAGTGGTTAAGGATTTAATCTGACGTCAGAATGTAATGAATGGATGGAAGATCAATTCCAAAAATGGTGACTTGTTCTTTCCTCTTAATTTCTTGTCTTAACTGATAGAATCATTGAATGATTCGAAATTACAACCACTTAAATTCTCAGAACAAATTTTAGAAAGCCTATATTCTTCGCACTCTTAATGCATCCCTCTTCCCGATCAGATTTTCCTCCCCAAAAACATGTGAAATATGCATTCTCCTGGTTTCCCAATCAGGATATTACGAAATGTAGTACACTTGCACAATCTAGATATTCATGTGACAGTGNNGTTTGTAATTGTTAGTATGACATGCAATGCAGCCTAATGATGAAATGCAAGAAATGAATGCACAAAAGGAGCACGCAAATGCTAAAGTGGACAGATGGTGTTTATTCGTTTCTGGCCAGCAGATTGAGCAGACGTTTATGAAAGCTCTTCTGCTCGAATCTCATTTCCCTTAAGCATAGGGGCAAGATCTCATTTGGATCATCGGTTCGTCATACCATTTATTCCTATATTTTCATCATATTAATGTTACTATCTTACGGTTATTTCTCAACCGTCTTTTACTTTATATTTTTATTGATGAGTCGGTATTTTTTTCCTATGTTATAGTAATATTCGTTCATTCGCCATACAGTAGTGATAATGAATTTCATGTCTTTTCAAGAAAACAATCCGAGTCGCAGATCCATTAATTGTTTTCTTGACAACAGTTGGAACTTCTAATCAAAAATGTGTAATTTGAATATTCGTTTAGTTTGTTCCAATCAGGTTTCCGAAATGCTGCTTCACTGATTGCATTCGATAGAAATTTATATGGCTAAGTCGTGATCCAAACAAATAATGACCGTTTCATTGCGGAATCACTTACCGACCTCAGCAGCACGAATATTCACTGCTGCTGTATCATTGATGGCATTGGCTGCAATAATTTTTTCATTTATTTTCCTTAACCTCACTTCATTACCATTCGTATTTATTATCATTGGTGAGTTCTCCTCATCGTTCAACCATTCAATAATTGTACTGCTCGGAAATAGATGTTATAGCTGTTGCATATCGACTAACACCCCGACCTTTCAAAATGTCACATTCATATTCACAAAATTCAAACATTCATAATTCATTAATTCAAATGTTTCATAATTCAAATATTTATAATTCAAAAATGTCATAATTCATTTAACATTCATTAAACCATCAATGGTATATGTTTCATTCCCACTGATAGTGAGCAATGCAAAGTTTTGACTAATGTTGCAAAATTTTCATGATTTTATTATCAGGTAGTGTTATGGTCGGTGTTTCCGTCTTAATTTGGCATTTCACTTGCATGCAAAGGAGTCGGACAGTAATCACACCATCAGCTGTATATATACGATCATTAAGAAGTGTTCATTGCTCAATTCCATATTACCTCTACTCGCCTCGTCCATCTCATAACCGTTAGTTCTTGACTGATGATCAAATTTACCGTTTTCAAAATGTTATGATCCACAAACCCCTCTAGGATACTACGTTACTATAATATGTAATATCAAGTGAGTGAAAAATCGATAAATTTATTTCTTAGACGATGATATTGAACATTTCCATTCTGAAGAATTGAAAGTACCACTTTTTCCTCAGTTAGTATAATAACTGTCATTAAAAATACCTGAGTGAAAAATGGTTGCATTAAGGTTTATGAAAGTGTATTACATTAAGGTGATTATGGTGATAGGGTGAAGACGTTAAGGTGATGATACATGAAGGTGCATTAAGGTGTATTACAGCGATGTGTGAAGTTGGTTCAAAAACACTGAATAGACACAAAATTCGACTCTTTAAAATGATTTCTTGATCGAGTATGTAAGTAAAATATTTTGAAAACGGGATGAAAGAAGAACGTATGCCTGCGATGTGAATTGCCTGAAATGCGTATGCATGCGATTCACTGGTGATTTGAGCACGGGATGAAAGAAGAACTGAATATAGCCTAACGCATCTGTCTATTCGTCTCATCATTTGGTCAGTAACGGTTGTGACCTTGCCGAACCTTGAATAGCTCACAATTAACATAATAGTTCACACTCCAAATTTATTGCATCTGCTCACATTCAACAACACACTTGTCGTTTGGTTCCGTTCACTTGGAATTTGTTATCCTTTATATCGTATTTCGACGTCCCAGCCGCTCTTCTTTTGTCAATGTAATGAAGCAAAATATATGTATTTTATTGCAAAATACAAGTTACGTCTGAAGTTTTCCTGCAAACAATGGGATTTAACAATGAACTCGTTTTAAAGGCATTTTGATCAGTAGTGAACATCTTACGGATAAACACTGTTAGATATCACAAACGATCACAACAACGGTGTCAATAACAACGTGCTGTGCAAATGATTGTTTCATAATCATTGATCGTGAGTGCTCGATCACGGTGTCATTT